AGGAACCGGACTGATGCTCCCCAGAATGGAAATGGAGCCAGAACCTTAAGGTTCTGTTTAAAAAAAAAAAAAAAAAAAAAAAGATTATATTACCTCTGCTCGAGGATGCCCTGGGAGAATGTTTGCTACTGCTGTACCAACAACTGCATGGCCAACTTCATGCCGTGCAACAACACCCTTCTCCGTCCCCTGTAAAGATGATCTTTTCTTCTCAATGCCCTGAATATCCACACGGCAGAGAACAGCAAACCACCAGGTAACCACCACTACGCAAACACCACCAGGTAAAAGCAAACATCCAAACCGGTTGCGATGATCCGGCTCAAATTCAACTTTCACTCGCAATCATGCATGTCACCAATGTCCACACAGAAACACTCAACAACAGAGAAACGAGATTGATATTCCCGGGCACAAAATTGTTAACCACGGTCATAGTACAGGCGGCTAGGGACACCAGGTCACTCCTCTCACTCAGGTAAGTTCTCTCTCTCTCTCCTCTCTCTCTGCCCCGCTGTCTCACTCACTCTCCTTACTTGGATTGCCTCTCTCTCTCTCTCTCTCTCCCCCCCCCCTATCAGCTATGGTGACAGTCTTCATCGCTAGCCCTAGCTTTGCTGCTCCAGCACCGGCTTCTTCCTCAACCTCCTCCACAAGTACACTCATATGGTCGCACAAGCGTTGGCAGAGCTTATGCAAGACATGAATTGACAAGTGAGTTCCTCGAAGCACTGTAGCTCTGTAAATAGCGGCCGAATTGAGATCTTTGATAGCTCCAAACCAGTGATGGTCTCCCAAGACCTGTCGGCTGCACTTTTGCAAGTTCCAAAACCCACTGGACTTTCCATGATGCTGCTGCTAAACTTAGACAGGGACTTTCGCAGGTACCATGCCTGTGAGACTCCTAACGACCCTTGACCTTCTGTCAGCCTACCTGAGTCCGGCACCACTGGGCCTCAGACCATTGGGACTCTAGGACAACGACTGAGACATGAAATCCTGTCAATTTTATGACCGGAGGAGGCAGTGAGTTCATGAATCTGTACAGTGGATCATATTAGCTGTTCAGAACAATCTTCTTTTTGGTTCATAATGCCTGCCTAGCAACCAACTGCGCGCACTTGAAAGGGCTTCCACCAGTCCTAAGAGGTGTGCAATGGAGCTCACACATCTTACTTAGCCCTACTTTATCCACTGGTAAAAACCAAAAGTGCAGCACAAATGAGTTTTCGTACAGCAAACTGGTTAACCAGCTCTTCACATTCCCACAAGCCGTTCCTTGATGGAGACCTCACTCCAAGATTGCGTTAGCCCATGCCACAGATTGATTTCATGCCCTAATGGCAATCCATAGGTGCTGGGTTCTATTCCTGTTGCCTTCACTTTCAGTGGCCTGAGGAGTATAGGTGGCCACGGCCAGTCAACACTCGCTGCCCTGTAACCGGTAGCAAAGCGGGAGCGCTGCTCAGGTCCTGCTGTGGTCAGTTGGGACACCCAACACACATCCAATAAAAAGAGCTCTCAGGTTGACCTCTCGGCCAGTGTCATCATAGCTGATATGAATGGCTCATTACGATGCCTATCAGGGTTGAAACCCTCAATTTCAGGATAATTCCAGAGGGTCAAAAACTCTCAACATACCTGCCACAACATAAGATCAATAAGGATCATGACACATAATCTGCAATAACTTCCATGTGATGACCTGACCAAACACGGACTAAGACACACAGCTGATTTCTGAGTTTTGCCATGGACTGAATGCCTTACTGAGTTTCCCGCTTGCTACTAAGTTCTCTAAGTCTGTGTGTGCACACTTGCTGGTCTGCATGTCTGTCTGAGTGCTTGATGGCTTGAGTGTGTGTGTGACCCGCAAGGGCACTTGTTCGTTCGTTGGACCCTCAGGGCCGGTACTTACCTGTGGCCATGACATTGAGGATTGCAGCGGGGAAAACACTAAAGTGGCGGCGAAGAGGCCCGCAACACTTGAAGCAGCGGGGAAACACTCAAGTAGCAGGTAGGCTGGTACCGCACCCTGAAGCGGTAGATGTTACGGACTCCGCCAGGGCTCGATCCCTGGTCTATCTTTTTGCTGTTTCAGCTGCATCCTGTTTTCGTCCTGGCACCCTTTTTCCAAACCCCTCCTTTGGTACCATAGGATTTTGGACAACTGGCGCCATGCTGCAATTCGGGCGCCACTTTCAAATACCGCATTTTTCAGTTCTGCCCTCGGGGCCTTTGCAGAAATGCCCCGGGTACCGTACGTGTCACCGGTACTTATACCGGCTCCCCGTACGGTACCGGGACCAGTCTCGCACCAGTTTTCTGCTGTACTCGTACTCAGTGTGACTTGCTTCGACTTTGTGTCTTTGCCACTTCGTGTCTGCGTCCGTTGAGTCGTGTCGAGTCTGCGTCGCGTTGAGTGTGTGTATGTGTGTGCTCTCACTCTCTCCCTCTCTCCCAGCCTCGTTGCCTCAGCCCTGTCACACTGGTATCGGAGCGGTTCAAACCCGCCCSACCCACCCTGCTTCGTCGTCACCACCTGGCCATCATCAGCATCATCGTCGTCATAGCACCACGTCATCGTTGTGACCATCACCGTCGTGCCACGTCATCATCGTCATCGTCGCGATCGTTGTCGCCGTGCCACGACATCATCGTCACCATCGCGCTCGTCGTCGTCATGCCACGTCGCCATCGTCGTGCCCGTCGTCCTCATCGCCGCGCCATGCCATCCTCGACATCGTCGTTGCCACCGCGCAGACAAGTAATCGACGACAATTTTCTTTTTATTATTTTTATTCTTTTCTTCTTCTTCTTGCTCAGAAATCACACGTTTCTTTGAATCATTGTATCGTACTTCCACATATCCCCTTAAGGGAAAGTCTTTTCGTAACGGATGACCCTCAATCTTCTTCTTCTTCTTCTTCTTCTTCTTCGCGACCCCGAGCCCACTCCCACGCAACTACGCACCCCCCCCCCACCCCGACCTTCCGCCCCGGATTACCCCCAACCCTTCCCCAACTTCCTCCGTCCCACGCACAACCCGCGCGCGATCCCCCGTGTCCGCTTTCCCCCCCCTTGCCCGACTTCCCCCCCTACGTTCCCCTTTCGTCATCATCATCACCATCATCATCATCATCATCAATCTCCCCGTGCAAACCGTTTTTTAAACCTACCTACCACCCTACCACCCAATTAATAGTAGATAGGATCGCTTCGCCCTCGATTTGCATCAAAACTGATTTATTCCTTTATCCATTATTTTCTATCTTATTTTAGAATCCATTTGAAATTCTTGTAGATACTTAATTAACTATCTTTCTCGACATTTCTTTTTCAAAAATATTTTCTTTTTTTGAAAATACATAGGATTAATCATTCTTTCTCAGCATTTCTTCTTCGAACTTTGAAAAATAATTTTACTTGATTTTTTCCCCAAAATTTTTGTAATTCGAAAACATTTTATAATTAATTAATTTCTTTTTTTTTTTTTAACATTTCTAATTAATTCTTTTTTGATTTTTTTTTAGATTACAAAAATAATTTTAATGAATTGTTTTTTAGAGTTTTTGTAATTCAAAAATACTTCAGAATTAATTAAATTCTTTTCGTTCGGATTGATCAATTCTTTTTCAACATTTCTTTTCCGAAATTCTTAACTACTTTTACTTCATTCTTTTTCGAAATTTTTGGAAATATGTTAGAATTAATTCAATTCTTTTTTTATATTTCTTTTGGAAAATCAAAAATAATTCTAAATTAATTCTTTTTCTCATATATTTTAATTCATAAAATTCCTTTTCGCAATTTTTCTTGAAATTTTCAAAAAATTCTTTTTCGCAATTCTTTTTCGAAATTCTCTTTTTGTTCAGAAGTACTTCCCTTTTTTTTTTTCTCTCAACTCATTAATTAATTGCGACTAAACTCGATTAATTCACGACTGAATTAATCTCTTTTACTCGAAATTAATCACCCCTTTTCGAAATTATAAAATTTTACCCCAGACGTAAATCCGAATAAATTTCGTCGGAATTTATTTTTCTCGGAATGAATTATTATTTTTCTTCATTTGGAAATTCCTGAAAATTTTGCTTTCGTATTTTCTTGAAAAATACACTCGCGAATCAGTTTCTAATAAATTCAAATTAATTTACACTCTATTCTTGCAAACAGGAATTGTCCCCCCATCTCCACATGCCACCATGCCAAACCAAGAACTCCCAACGCGCCGCCGCCGACGCCGCCGCTGCTGCCGCCGCCACCGCTGCTGCGGCATCCTCCACATCTGACATGACCGCATCCTCCATCAACATGTTGGACATCCGCACCGACTCGGTCGATAGCATCGCCCGCAACCTCGCAGGCGAACAACCACCAGCAAACACCGCCACCCCCGACCTCTCCACCATCCTCCACTCACTCAACACCTTCCAAACCTCCGTCACCGCCTCTCTGGACGACATAAAGGCCACCATGTCGTCCATATCCGACCGCGTCACCACGCTCGAAGGGGACAACCCCTCCATCACGGTCGTCACCACGGCCAGACCTCCCTCCTCCACAATGCAAACCACTCCCTCCTCCACAGCCGCCTCCAGCAACACCCCCCCGTCGACCTCCTCCACTCCTACCACCTCTACCACCACATCCACCAACCCTTCAACCTCCACCACCGTTTCGTTCCCCCCTCCTCCTCCCTCATCCGGCGCATCCAACACACCGCCTCATTCCTCGCCCATCCACGTCACCCCCCTTCCCCCCTGGCACTCCCATACCCTTCCCCAACCCATCATGACGACCTCCACCATCCCCACCATCTGTCCCACCTATTCCCAAGTCACCTCCGGGGTTTACCCCGCAATGCCACAACTCCCCCCCCAACTACCTCCTTGAGGACAACAACCAACTCGACTACACTTGCTACGACACCACCCCGAATAACCTCATCTTCAACACCCTCGCCCAGATCGTTTCCCGCGACGGGGAAACCCCCCGTTCCTTCCGATCCGGCAAAATCATGTCCTTCTCCGGCCTCCCCCACGAGGACGTTTTCCCCTTCCTAACCCAGCTCCAAAACTCTTTTCACCTCCACCACAACCAGCCAAATGGTGGATGGCTGAAGTCAGCAACCGCCGAGCCTCCGGAGGACCCAACCTTCTCACCGCCACCTTTTGCCCCCAGAAAACCATTGATGACTACCTTGAATAATTCTGCCA